AACTCCATACAGGCTTTGTGGACTCCACCCCTGCTGCAGGGGGCCTTGATGCCCCAGCCAGATATGACACTGACTAGCAGCTAAGCTAAAGGGCCTCACACCGTGGGACTGAAGATTTAACATCCCTTTGTTTTTTGTTCTTGGTCATAAAGAGAAAAAAAATTTCTCAGAAAGTACATTAGACAATAAATTATATGTATCAGCATACTGCAAGCAAATGGCACGGAACATTATCTGTTTAGAAATTAGTTATTAAACAATTTGGCCCACTTGACAATGGGAGACAATTTATTGTACATGCCTGACAAGCACCCCAGCACAACAATTATAGTAAGTCCTCCTTTGCTTTTTAGAAGTTTCTTAGGAAAGTTTTTAAATGAAGTTAATTGTGTTAAGGAGTTTCTAGGTAGAAAAAGTTCTGATAGCTGAGAAGCAGCTGGCCTCTGGCTGAAGGCCATATGAATAGAAGAGTCTTTTGATGCTTAGGCTTTAGCTGATAGGGATGTACTGGCAGCTATCAACTGTCTTAGGTATTTGTCTAGCTGAAATAATAAGTTTTAGTGTAAGGCTTAGTTTTTTATCTATTAACCTTGAAGGCTACCATCTAGCTGAGACCCGTAGGAGCCAGTAGTCTGTGGGAATAAAATACACTAATTGTTTCTGCTTCACACATGATGATGTAATTTTTTCTGCTTGCTAAAAATGAATAAAATAAAGACCTGCTGGGTCTCTTGGCAGAAGATACTTGCACCTCATCCAGTGTCAGTGTCTCCTCACTACCTCATCCCCTTCCCCTTAGCCCTTAAGTTTTCACCAAAGCCGTCTCATCCTTTCAGGAACCCCTGACACGACATTTGCCAAGGCTGGTACCCGGCACTCCCCACTCCAGACCATAGCCATCAAGACGCTGGAAACTACAAATCCCATCATCACCAAAGGGAGGGTTGGTGGGACATGAGGGTGGAGTTAAGTAGCCATGTTTTTTGTTTGGGTATAAAACCAGCAATTTGGGCTTAGGTCACTCTCTTGGCCTCACGGCTCTTGGCTTTTCACCAGCTCTCAGAAGGTCATTGAGATTCCAGGTCAGCAGAACAAGTAGGACACATTCACGAATTTATCTTCCTCTTTTTCTCCCTGAGTTATCCATTTCTTCATTTCCCCTTCTTTTTGTAAATAAACCTTTTATTAACCTTTTGTGTGTGTGCAGGTCAAGCATTAATTAGTCCCTTATAAGCATACAGGTGAGGACCCACAGTCATGCAACCTGTTTCATATCGGGGTTGCCCTGTAACACTATGTCCAACAAAGTAGGACAAAGTGGCGATCTCATCCTTCCTACAAAGCAATATTTCTCAAACAGGAAATATTCTATAATTCTTAAAATTTGAGAGCAAGAGCACTTCTTAGCTAGTCAACAAAGCATCTATCTCAGGCCTCCCTTGTGGTACAGTGGGTTGAGCACAGTGCTGTGAAGCTGTCCGCAGCCTCTGCAGCATGGGTTCGATTCCCAGCTGGCCAGGGAGCTACCCACACGCTGCAGCAGACCTCTCCTGTCTTGTCCACTGCTCCCCTCAGCAGTGTTTTCAGTCTGTCTGCCTGTTCTGCTCCTCTCTCTGTCTCTGAATTCTCTCACCCTCCCATGCCTCAGGCTTGTACCCCAGTTCTTGTATAAATAAATCTTTTTTAAAAACCAAACAAAGCATCTATCTCAGCTTTTACTCAAACCTAAGCTTAGATGCCCTTTTGTGATAAGCTTCCCCACAAAAATTTATATTAAATACATCAACTTCCATTTCCACATCACATGCCACCTATATTCCATTCATTTGTTCATTCATTTGTTCATCCAGTCACAAATATAAGTTTCACAAGCACTGGAAATTTAGAAGTAATCAAGAGACCAAGGTTGCTACCTTTACAGAACTTGCAATCTAGTAACAGAGACCAAAACAACAACAAAAAAGAATGTTATATCAAAAGTGTGTAATTTTTAAAGGAAAAGGGAACTTTGAAAAAAAATAAATGTTTGCCCATGCCTCTATTCCTGTATTGTCTCAGATTGCTGCTTATGGTCAAATATAACCTACCTTTCCTTACCTACTTTACACATCTGCTCCTTTATTTCTCTAGCCATGTTACTGCACCTCCCATATTACCTTCATGTGAAACTATATTAATAATTTGCATGTATTTTATTTGCTAGTACATTACCTTGTCTCATTTTTCTATTTTTCCCCTAATATGCTTTTAACATTCAAGCGAATTTCATTACTAGCTGCTTATCCTACTCCATCCCCCTGCTGCTAATGAAGAACTTCCTACTAGCATGTTCAGACACTATTATCATATATATTCTCCATAAAAAAAAATACTGAGGTTCCTACAATCTGGTTAATAAAAATGTAATGTTAACATAAAAGTATAATTGGATCTTGCTAAGTTCAGCAGCCTATCTGGTGCCTCATGTGAGTCATCATCAGGTTCTCCTTGCTGAGATCTCACTGGTGTCATGGTCAAATATATGGACTTACAAAAACTTGTTCAATTTAAACAGGTTAGGAGTAAAAATAAAGAACTTGAGTTCTTGAGAAAAAATGTAAGAATAATTTTTATTAAAAAAGAACAGGAATAGCAAAACATATTTTTCAGTACTATTAGAATGTGGGTAAGAGACAGCAAGAAAGTGTAAAGTCACCTAAAATGTATGTGACTATGTATAAGAAACATTGGAATTAATTAGAGATTGATTAATCAGCGAAATTCCAATGCCTTGAAAGTATCATTTTGTCCATGCACACTGAAAATAAGCAGTAATAGACTTAAATTGTTGATCGATCATAGTAAATTGATCATTACTAGCTGTAAAGAGGCTTTGCTTCCATTGGAGTCTATATACATGTACTAAAGAACATAATGACTGTCATGTATTTTGGGGGAGGCATCAGAACCTCGTGAATAACTGTGGGCTAGTTACATAAAATGCTTATTATGTACCAATATCAGCACATATAGAGTGGTGATGTTAATCCCTAACACTCAAGGTAGTCATGATATTAAATGGCATAACATAGAAGCTGCTTCATAAGGTAATTGTCTGGAAATAGGTGTCATTAATGACTATAATTAACTTTCAAAATGTCTACCCCTAAAGTGGATGATGATGCCAGGATAAGGAGAGACAGAAGAGGCAGGGTTTAGACCAAAGATAGCCTGAAACAATTTCTACTCAATGACTTCACAGTATCAATTTATTCACTTCAAAATTTCAACTCTTCTTAATATGCCACTTGTTAAGCTTTAATAAGAAATAAAAACTCTACACAATGGAACACTAATCAGTGATCAAAAAACAAAAAAAAAAAAGGTAAACTCACCACATTTGCAACAACATGGATGGAACTGCAAAGGATTATGCTAAGCAAAAGTATGAAAGAAGGGAAAAAAACAAATATTGAATGGTTTCATTTATATGTGGAATACAGGCTGACCACAGATCTGAGGCAGACATCATGGGAGGGTCAGGGAGGGGGTCAAAACAGAGGAGGAAAGAGCACAGGACTGTGGTGATGAATCATGGGTGCGGAGGTGGTGAGAGAACTGTTGGGACTACATACAAAGGGAGAAATCAAATACTGTCCCAAAGTTAACAACAATATAAGAAAATAAATTTAATTTTTTAAAAAATCTCTCAACACACCAAGAAAAGTATTTTTTTTTTTATTTTTTTTTTTTTTTTTTTTTTTTTAAGATTTTTTTTTTTTTTTTTTTTTTTTTTTTTTTTAATGTTTATTTGTACAAGCACTGGGTACAGTCAGAAGCGTGGGAGGGTGAGAGAATTCACCAGAGCCAGAGCGGGGAGCAGAGCAGGCAGAAGGACCGAAGTACACTGCTGAGGGGAGCAGCGGGCGGCAGGAGAGGTCTGCGCGCCATGTGGGACCCTCGCCAGCGGCCGGGGATCGAACCGGCGCTGCAGAGGCTGCAGGCAGCTTCGCAGCCCAGCGCTCAACCGCCGCGCCACCAGGGGAGGCCCAAGAAAAGTATTTTTAAAATAAAGCATTGAGGGACCTCCCTGGTGGCACAAGGGGTTAAGAGGCAACCTATGAAGCTACCCTCAGCCACTGCAACATGAGTTCAATCCCCGGACAGGGAGCTACCCACATGGTGCAGCAGTCCTCTCCTGTCTTACCTGCTGCTCCCCTCAGCAGTGTATTTCAGTCAGTCTGCTTGTTCTGTTCCCCACTCTGTCTCTGGTGAATCCTCTCACACACACCCCCACACCTCTGGCCTGTACCCCAGTTCTTGTATGCATAAATAAATCTTTTTTAAAAACAATAAAGCACTGAGCAAAACAGTAAAGAATAATTTAATAAAGCCAGTTTTTATGGCTCTGTTTACCCTTCTGTTTTTTCTTGAGCTTAAGTGGATGGGTAGTATCTGTGTTCATTTAAATGGACGAAGGTTTGAACTCATACTAGGTGCCAATCAGAGAGTCAGGTATTAGGCATACAAGGAGTATTAACATATTTCCTCTCCTCAAAAAAGTCAAAGGCTAGTGATAAACATTTAAGAAAACAGAAGTGAAATGAATAATAATTTGAAAGCAAAAAGTCAAACTACAGTGTGTCACTACTCTAATGCACTACCACTTGAGCAAGATGCCCTGTGTGCAGGGGGAGGCTGGCCCAACCCCACCCGGCCCGACCTTTAAGCTTCTCAGCAGCTTGACCCCCAAAGGCGGATTATACCCTGGGAGCTACCCAGGTTGGCAGGCAGCCAGGAGTTTGGGGGGAGGAGAGAGGAAAGCACTGGGGGCACAGGGCACAGCTTAGTCAAAGGTGAGAGAAGTGGAAGCAAACAGGCCTGAGGCACAGGCAATGGTGTGCAGAACCAGTGGAAAGAAGAGCAGAAGTGGGGCCTCACCCGGCAAGCCTGTCCACCTCCCGGCAACGACGCCCCTCCTCCCCCGAGAGTGGCCCGCAAGGACGAGCCCCTGCGCTCACCTTCCCGCTGCCAGGTGACAGGGGCTAACACCTCGTAGTTGTATCTGCACAGCGTGTCCACCGCGGCCCGCGTCTGCTCCAGGAACTCCTTCTGTGCGTTCCAGTACTCAGCGCTCTGCCGCCCCAGCTCGGTGACCGCGATGAACTCCCCCAGGTCGCTGTCGAAGCGCACGTACTCCTGGCGGTTGTAGATGTATCTGGTCACGTACCGCACCCGCTGCGTCCCGTTGGTGTAGTAGCACAGGCCCTTGTGCTGGTGCACAAAATCCTATGCGGGGAGTCACACCCGCAGCTCAGCCCCGCAGCCCCCAACCCCGCCCCGCTGCCTCCCGCTGCTGCCCTTCCCAGGCCACGCTGTTGGTGTCGAGACCCCTGAAAACCCGCTGCTCCCCTCAGACTCTCCACCCAACCCTGTGGGGCCCCTGGCTCGGAACCTGCCGCGGGCTCTGAACCCGGGTCCCCAGGAGGCGCTCCCCCAACCCCGCCGCCCACGCAGCGCGCTCGGGGCTCCCCCCTCTGAGGGGAAGATGGAGGACAGTGCCTCTAAGGCCAGGCCGGGGGTGAGAGACCCGAGCCAGAGAACAGGACAGATGCGGTGGGGTTCATTTTATGTCCATCCCCGTATTTAGTGGAATCAGAAAATTCTCACATGAAATCCCATTTTCCGCAGAGCTCCGGAAATCTCGGGACAAACAAGCGTCCAAGAAGCAGGAGACTCCCAGGGAATGAGGAAAAGGTCTAGAATGAAGTGCTTGTCTCCCCCTCGCGAGCACATTCTGGGTGCCTGGCAGGGCGCCCTCCTCCCCTGCCTGAGCCCGCTCAAGTCACGGTTTTACCCAAAACCAGTGAAAATGCAAGTGAGGCGCCCTGTCTGTGCTCGCCCAGCCGGCTGCGCTCAGACACGGAGCCCACCGCCCAGGCTGACTACTCAGAGTTGGGAACTGGCGTCCTCTTCCTCCAGTACTGAGGTCCCCACATTTCCCCACCTCAGAACCCCTTAGTATTTAGTCCAGACAACGTCTTGGGCTCCCAAATAACAAATCCTGCTGTCTTCTCTGGAGAGATTCACATCTTAAAAAAAAAAAAAAAGCCACCACTATTGATAAACCATGTTCTCTGCCCTGCACAGCAGGAGAGCAGCTTGTCTCCCTCATGGTGTGACACGCCCGGGCTTTCCTCACCCTCTCATTAAAGGCGGAAATGAGAATGTACATAGCTCTTTCTCAGAGAGAGGAAATGTGTTAATTAAAAAGAAAAAAGGTGTGTTCTGAAATCATGGAAGCCCCAACCTCCGCCCAGGGGTCCCTAGAATCTGTTCCGAGGGTCAGTCCCCTGCACTTACTTGGAGACGCTCTGCCCTCAGTCACTGGGGCGCTCAGCACCACCAGCATCACCACCACAGCTGCTGTCCACAGGCTGCCGGGGGTCCTCAGAGCTGCCTTCCAAGACATAATTAGGAACCAAGGGGCAAGTATGGGTAGTCAGCATACCTCGTGGATATGACGTACCCCCTTCAGAGAATAAAACCCTGGGAAAGCCTCCCGCACAGCAGGATTGGAGAGGCCACGGAAAAGGACCCAATCAGCACTGACGCTGCAGCGCCTCATCTGTCTCTGGGCAGACTCTTTTTCTGAAGGTTCTCAATCCACTGCCTGGCGCTGTGTCTTCATTAATTTGTACCTTTTGAGGTAAAAAGTTGCTCCCAGATCTGAGAGCAGATCCAAAGATCGAATGCCTTGGGGTTTAAAGAACCTAAAAAGAACAATGATTGAATAGTACACATCTTTATGTTATTTATTTGAAGACTTTTTTTTGTAGGGAAAACAAGTGAGGAATCTTACTTCTACTTCAGGAGAAAGGAAAATTATCATCGGGAAGTGCACACACTGAGGAAACTTGTGGGAAGAGCAACATTCTTAGTAGAAAACGACTTAGAGCTATAGTTCTATCACTAATGTGCTTTATGCCAGCAAATGACAGAATATCTTGTTGCCTCAGGCTTCTCTTTGCAAAATGTGTTTCATATCTAGAGCTTTATATATAAACTTAAGAACAAGAGGATTTGTTTACTATTTCAAATTGTTCCTTAACTGCCATGTGTAACTGTTGGAATAACATATTATTCCAAGAAAACCAGAAAAAAAAAAAAAAAGACAGCCCTGCTGGTGAGTGACTCTTCACTATGTAAGAATCTATTTCATTCATGTTCTTTGGGTAAAAGTACTGGAAAAGTCAATGAATTGACTTTCTCTTATAAGCTCTCCCTGAACCATGAGAAGGTTCTTCTATATCAGGGAAGGCACAATCCACAAACACCCCAGCATTCAAATAGTCACACTTCATTTCAAGGACAGAGAGCAAAAGATGAGAAGCATTTCCAGGAGCCCAATTAGTGTTAATGAGGGAGCACATGCTTATAGTTACAGATTATACTGTGCCTACAACATCAAATATCAAAGAGAGGAAATATCTGCTTTCTGAATAAAATCATTATTAGACACATCTTGCCCAGGAACAGTATTAAATGGTTAGAAAAGTTAGAACAGTATCTGACAAAGGTTAATAAAAAAGTCAGTGTCTCCTCCTTTTCTCTCCCTCTCTCTCTCTTCCCTGAAATTTATGATCACCTTTTAAAACAGAGAATAAGATATGAAAGCAGACAATAAGGAAGTTATTGGATAAAAAAATAAATAGGATATGGCAATGTGAGGGCAGGAAGTGCACAGAGCAGGATCACTATGACCCTATGCAGACAGGTGAAGGAGTCCTGGAGTCCTCAGTGGCTTTTGAGGCTTTTCTTGGGATTTACCAGGTACACGGCAGGCAGGGGTGCCAGGGTGGCCAGGAGGTTGGCAAGCGTCCTAGCCCCCAGGGAATCTTCATACTTTCTGGGCTCTCCAGTGTTCTCTCGTGGCCTTGCTTCTCTACTGGTGGTCTGTTCTGCTTGCATCCCTGTGACATCACCCAATAAGCCCCGTCTCTCAGCCCAGGTGTACCCACCTACACAGGCCCACACCCTACTCCAGGTGCCCGCCGTCAGACATGCATTCAGGACCACAGGTTTCCATCATCAATCCTAATGGCGGGAGGGCAGAAAAGCCTGATACTTTACTTATCCTACAATATACCCCCTCAGGGTTTTCTACAAGACAGTCTATATACAAGTTATATACATGTTTCTCTTGGCAAATATGAACACTGCAGCCATGGCCCATAAAAGTAAATAGAATATATCACAATATAACTGAATACATTAAAAAATACAACAGAACACAAATAATCCAGTCAAGGCACCAACCTAGTGGCAAAAGACAAGATTATCGGCACCAGCAGATGATCCACCATGTCTACTGCTGAAGGCACTGCTCATGCAAGGGGGTCCCAAATAGTGTTAATAGAAAACTCAGGCATCTGCCATCACATGCCAGGAGCCATTAGGCTTCCTGGCCTTCTCCAGCTGCGGTCTCAGCCACAAGCCATTTACCACACCCACCCCCAGGATGCACTCACTCTTGCATTGGCGATTCTTTACTCTTTGGGGGTAATCGCCCAATCCTCAGGGTTTTCCGTCTATGGTCATTCCAACACTCGACTTTCATAGCCACCAATGCGACACGCAGACCCCTGCACTCAGGCCAACCCATTGCACAAGCACATGGGTGGGGGATCCGTGGATACAAGCGCCACATGCGGCCTCTCTTGGGTCCCTGTAGGGTGAGGAAAAAGGTCAGGCTTTTCTGCCCTCCTACCATCAGGATAGATGATGGATCCTTGCAATCCTGAATGCATGCCTGATGGCGGGCACCTGGAGTAGGGTGTGGGCATAGGTAGATGGGATTCACCTGGACTAAGACTGGGCGTTTAAGGGCGGCATCATGGGGACGCCAGCAGAAGCAGAAAGAGAAGCCGAGAGAGAGCAGAGAAGCAGAAGCAGAAGCAGAGATCACCGGAGAGCCCAGATAGAGTGAGGATTTGCTGGGGGCTGGGAGGACTGCCAGCCTCCTGGTCCCCCAGCACTCCTTCCTGCTGTGTACCAGGTAAATCCCAATAAAAGACCTGCAAAAACCACTGAGGACTCTGACTCCTCCTTTACCCGGTCTGCTGGATCATGGAAAAGCTGCACTGGTCCATTCCTGCCCTCTATAGTCCCCTCTTTGGCTGTGGGCTCCATCACAAGCCATGTTCCCCACCCATTCCCCAAGGATGGGTTCCTCAGTTCCTCACCCTCACTCGACAATGAACAGGGCATCACCCATAGGTGATTTCAAGAGACTCACTGGCCTTTTTCAATGTATTTAAGCTGCTGAACAGCCACTCAGGGCTTCCCAATCTCAGCACCAGCTTTTGCCTTTCTAAGTTGACTTTTTCGATACCACCTCTGCCTGGCTGTAGAGATCTTGGTGAGGGCTCTTCCCTCAGCCAATCTTGGGCCCTTCTGATGCCTGCCCCTTCCTCCACTCTGGCCATTGCCTCTCTGGGCTGTGTCCCTAAGATTGCTGGGCTGTACACAGGCTGCTTTTGGCCACTGAGACCCAACTAGCCATGCTTTACATCTCTTGGGGCTTACAAAGATACTCTCTTCCCCCAGGGTCCCCAAAACATAACATCAACCTGCCAAAATTCCTCCATCTAATGGCGGGATTGCTCAGTCCATCAGTTTTTTGCTTGCATAGCACTGGGCGAGCTCCAAATTGTGGTACTCTTTCTCCTACAATTCTGCTGCCTCAGGGACCATGCACTGGTCCTCGCAGGCCATCTTGTCCTCCACTTGAGGTATCCTCCCACAGCAACTGGATCTTGTCCACCTCCTGTGCTCCTACAGCATCTGTAGCTCTTCTCGCAGCTCCTGGTCTTTGGTTACCATCTGTGCTGCCACAGCGCCTCCAGCATTGTCACAGGCTCATAGTCTGCTACTCCATCCCTTGTGAGGTCTTTGGAGGGCTCCATACCCATCTACATCAGATCATCCTGCCAACTTATGCCAATTGTAGTGGCAGGAAGGGCACAGAGCAGGATTGCTATGACCCTATGCAGACAGGTGAAGGAGGAGTCCTGGAGCCCTCGGTGGTTTTTGCAGGCTTTTATTGGAATTTACCAGGTACACTGCAGTCAGGGGTGCTGGGGGCTGGGAGGCTGGCAGGCCTCCAGCCTCCCAGCCCCCAGCAGGTCTTCACTCTTTCTGGGCTCTCCATTGTTCTCTCATGGTCTTGCTTCTCTGCTGGTGGGGCTGTTATGCTGGCATCCCCGTAACGCCACCCTAATAAGCCCAGTCTCTTGTAGGGGCCCAGACCTGAACATCCGGGTTCTTGCCTGAAGCAGGTACTGAATGTTAGCTCCAGTGAAGGTTTCAGGTTTCCTATTGTGACGACTGAACCCTGCCCACTGCTTGCTCCTTGTGGCTTGTTTGTATTGGCCTTCTCTCCTTGTTCGAGATAATGAGAGACCTCCTCCTCTGAACCCTATATAACCTTGTACACATTCCTGAATAAATGAGACTGGCAATGATCCTGGCTTTGTCTCCACTCCTCCAGTACCCCTGTCCTATACCAAGCCCCTGCTTCCTCCCCCGGGTACCACGTTGATCTGCCCGGCTGGCCCGGACATTCTCTCAGCCCAGTTGTGCCCCTCTATGTATGCCCACACCCTACTCCAGGTGCCTGCCATCAAGTATATCAGGACTGCAGGGATCCATCATCAATCCTAATGGTGGGAGGGTAGAAAAGTCTGATATTTTATTTACCCTAAAGGCAACAATAAGAAGCTCCCACTGGTGTCACTTGAAGGCACTCCAATAGTCTGTATTGGGTGCCAGTTGCAGAACATTTGTCGGAAAATTAGTCACTAGGCTTCCACCAGCAGTGGTGTATCATGATCTGGGTAACCTAGAATAAGGCAGGTTTCCATAGATGAGATGAAAGCATAAAGGGGGAACATCAAACAACCTGCAATAGAGTTTGGGGACAAGGAATTGTCCCCCAAGAGAGGGATATTGAAGGTGCCTCCATTGCTTCAGCCCTATCTCAGTTTCTCTCAGAATAAAGAGAGACCTCT